GTTGTTGTGCATGACACTCCAAGTCATGCTACGGATAAGGATAGTATATATATATATATATATATATATATATATATATATATATATATATATATATATATATATATATAATGTTCTGTGGTATGCTATATTTATGGGTTAAAGTTCTCAATATCAGGGATAGAGCATATTTGAATATAAAAATGGACATTGAAATCAACATTCAGAGGCAACAGTCTTTTTCATGATGGTTGACGATTGCGTTCAAACCTGAAACAGCCTGTCGCCTCTGGAAGTTGACTTCTATATACACTTTTAGATTTATATATTTTTGAATTTGTAGGTCTGATGAATTGGGTCGTATTTACGATTCCAATGGAATAAATTATGACCATGGAATATTAGTGTTTAAGCCTTTTTTATATATATATATATATATATATATATATATATATATATATATATATATATATATATATAACTAGACTCAATTTCGAAAAACCCTCGAATTTTTGATTTGCTAATCAAATCAATCTCGAGGGAAAAAATTTTAAAAAAAGAAAGAGCTACAAACATGAACTTCTGCCGACAAAAAAATCGCACAGATGCAGGTTTGAAGCCCAAAGAAAAAACTCCGATACGAGTAAACAACTAACTAACAAAAGAGCTCAATACAACCGTAGGGCAGACCTAGAATACACCTAGTGGAGCCAGACAAACCTACCTAGGTTTCACCTAAAACGGATCGTCAGGGAAAGTTTGGCCAAACCAAAGCCAAACTTTCTCTGACGATCCGTTTAAGGGTGAAACCTAGGTAGGTTTGTCTGGCTCAATATAGGTGTATATATATATATATATATATATATATATATATATATATATATATACGAGTAAAAAACTAGGTAGGCTGTTTTTCTATGCCTTGCATGATGGCCTGTATAGGAGAAAGAACACACTCAATTCAAATCAGTTGTGCGTAAAAATACTGTGTTGCGCCAGAAATGCATTGATCTGGTTATTCGCTGCAACTCATCCTCGACCAGTCGTTTTGATATTCACCTAATTTAAAATAAACATCTATTCATTTACGTGCTATTCCATGAATGGCAATAATGAAATTATCCGTTTCCATACAGGAAACATTGGGTATTCATTGATCAAACAGCGTTACTGTCGGATGAAATTTATTAAATCTTTATCTTAAAAGAGTAAATTAGACTTATCAGTTTCACTATTACTGCTCTTTCTTGAAAAGAGTTTCCTTACAAACCTTTTGTTTGAAGTAGTGTGGAAAATTAATAACTCGATAATATAATCAGTTTCTTTGTGCAACCCATTTTTGTTGCTGTTACTGTTGTAAGTGGTAATGTGATGTGCTTTTGTTATTTTATAAAGTTCGTTTCCTGTAATTGTCTAGCGCCAATCTATAGGTTCTTGATGAAAAGTAGTCTTAAGATTTATACGATTCTTTCGCTTGGAGCCATTTTAATCATTAATCTGAGTAAAAAGTCGTATATAGATTATAGTCTAGACATTTTTAGCTAATTCGCTGCCATGCATGACACCCAAATGAAAGTTTAGATTTGAAAACAAATATAGAATGCGCCAGGTTATTAAGAACAAATTATAACGAAAGAACAAAAATATTCTCGTCCTGGGTATGACGATAAACTACATCTGGCAGCAAGGCCACTGACTAGGAGATTTAATTGCTGTTGTTCCCATGATCACTCTGGGCTGCGGTGATTAGGGTCCCAGCTATGGGTAAATAGTGAACCCCCAAACTGGAATCAAAACATTATAAAAGTATAAAAATACATTTTTGTAGTAAAAATACCAGCAATATTTTTTCGTAGTAAAAAAAAAATTCCAGCAATACATTATTGGAAAAGGAAGAGAAAAATCACCAGCAATATATTTTTGGAAAAAAAATTAACAAAGATCCCAAGAAAATTAAATTTCGGCATTAAATGACCCATAAGGTGTTGATATGTCGCTAAACAAACCAAACCAAACCAAACCAAACAAAGATATTCAATAGAAAAAATGTACAACTGTTCAATTAAGAAAAAAAAACGATAAAGATTTTTCGATAAAACTTCTCTCATCCTGATGAATAGCCTCACAGAGGCTTCGGTAACAATCCCATGGCTGAATAAGGCGTTTTTAATTCAATGATGACAAACTTTAACGCGTCCTTTGTCCTATCAGGCCGCTAGTTGTTATCCCTCTCAATAAAAACATAGACTTATTAATTCAGGAGGTTTTCAGTCGCAAAAGCTAAATGGTCACATATTGGCGTTACATAGTCATGAAAATTCTCGGCCAACTACGCTTTTAGGGGGATGCAGAATCCTGATAGAAAATGTACGATCTTGTCTGGATTACCCTACCGGTCCTGTGTTTTGCCACTACCACGATGTAACCCTGAGGCTCTGCAGGAAGAAGTTAGGCAGTATGATATTGCCCTCGATGTTCACGGACTCTAGGACAATCATAAACGTGGGTACCTCAGGGTACCTGTGCCTGATCAGCAAAGACTTTAACTGGATCGAACGGTACTTCGGGGTCTTGATGAACATGAACTGTTCATAAGGTTGGGCTGATTACTTCTCGCAACATACATCTAATAGTATATTGGCGATGATCCTCATCGATTTATTAGGTTCGTGATGGACGGTGTCATGATCCTGTTGTATGAACTCATCGTCCTTACATCGCCTGGCCGCTTAGAATGTTTCTTTCTTTAAGTAACGTATGACATGTCTATACCAAAGTCCTCTAGCTTGGTCCTGACATAAAATAAAAAGAATATAGCCGTATTCAAGATGCTGGCTAGATCTGAGTCTCTGAGTTGCCACAAGATAGTCATACAGTTACATTTTGGAAGTTGTCGAGTTAATGTTCTCAGCACACATGAAAGAATAATGTGTATGTTTATACCTGGTATGTGTGGCATGACATTACGTTGTGTTCCCTAAAGGTTTCTTCTAAAATACCTGGTGCATTCAGTACAACCATTTAATCAAAAGAAACGATTTCAGTTTGGACATAAGAGATTCTACAGTTCTTCTATGTAATTACATGTATTCATGATGAATCTGAATTAAAGAAACAGTTAATATCATTTTCTTATGTATGATTAGAATTCCTTTTCAGTTTTGATTGATTTGGTTGTTTTTTTTTACAGCTTATCAGCGTTTAGAACGTTATTTAAAGCCAGAAAATATTTTTAGATCGTAAGAATTTTGAAGATAATTTAATCCAAAGCTGGGGGGAAGAAGTGGATTCCTACTTTTCCCAAGGATATTTGTGCGTAATATAAGGAACCCGACTGGAATTGAAACTCGGCTATCTGATTTCCAATTCTGAGCTGCATATCTAATACACCACCAGAGCCATCTTAACGCATGGGCCAGATGACCACACGCCTGGGGTCCCCACGAGCATAAAGGCCCCATGCTAATCTGTGTATGTTAAGTGACTTGTGTTACACAAGTCTCTTTTAGTAAATACTAAAAATAGAAATTACTACAATCCACGCGTATTGCGATTGGTGAAAATATATACCATAACAGAAAGATCTATTTCATGTTTGTTGGTTCATGAATTAAAAAAAAAATAGATTACAGTGATGGTGAAAAAGGGAACAAAAACGAAGTGTGCGTCTTAATAGATATCAGCAGAAAATTTCAAGATGGAAACTTTCCTCCTTATTCTGGACACTTTAATCTTTGATCTGACAAAATGTGCAGAGGTTTATTCACGGATTGGAAATCTGTTTTCTTTCTTCAGTGAACAGAAAACCATTGCTTCTGATGCACTAAAGAAAAAGTGTGAATAATTGACTAATATTTATCACAAAGACTCGAATTCTGATGACCTTTGAAATGAATGTGAGCATTTCAAAAACTACATGGCTCATGATGAAAATTGTGAGAATGTCCTTGCACTGTATAGAAAAAATAATTTTGGACAATTTCAAATCTGTATTCGTGAATGTTGAAATTGCACTCAAAGTGTTCATGTGCATGATGGCGACCGACTGCACAGAAGAACGTTTTTTCCAAGACTGAAAAATATAAAAAAATCTGCTTCGTAGCCCAATGGGACAGCATCGTTTGAACTGGCTTTTATTCATGTGCATGGAAAATGACATCCTATTCCTGATGACCATTGACTTCAAGCCAATAATAAAATAATTCTCTGAAATGAAATGCTGCAAATGCTTGTTATAAGAAGTTCATAGTAATTTCATACTGTGCCATCGAATCTATGTGGCTTACTAAGTATTATTGTGTTTTTCAAGGCTTGTGTATTGTTCAAATGTTTATCATGTTGACTAGTTTCTGCTGTACAGTATGCTTTTAATGTTTCAACATCAGTTTTGTTGAAGTTCCAATAAAATAAATATATGTTTAATATAATCAACTATTTGCTTTTTATTCCTGGGAGTCATCGTAAGAGTCCCAGCACATCGGTTTGCCCAGGGACCCATAATGCTGTTAAGACGGCCCTGCACCCGAATATCAAAACTTGCAGTACCTGGTATTTCCAATCTGCATTCTAGGTAGTGACCAGGCACAATGTAACTTCAATTCGATGATCTTACGGGAATCGATGTTTGAACGCGATATAAGTAAGCTCTCGGTGCAGTTTTAAAATATTCAGAATCTAATCATAGTCTTTTGGGGGGAAAGATACTTGGGCGATTTTTTTTCTCAGAAACATACGACTGGAAAATCTTATCGTATGAACTTAGACTGATTGATTTGTTTTTTACGGCTTACCAATACTTTGTGAGTCATTTAACCCGAAAGATATTTTGGATTGTAAGAATATTTTTGCTTCCAGTGAATATTGCATTAACTTTCTTTTAGAATAACAATGAGTTATCCAGATATACAAAGCCGGCTATTTAACCCATAGCTGGGAGAGGCGGATATAGATTCATACTTTTTTCCAAACACCACTGTAATTCGAATTCGCCTCTTTGATTTCTCATTCCGCCACGCTATACATTATACCACGTACACATCATTGATATGAAGAGACTGAGATAGATAGATAGATAGATAGATAGATAGATAGATAGATAGATAGATAGATAGATAGAAAGAAAGAAAGAAATAGATAGATAGATAGATAGATAGATAGATAGATAGATAGATATTATCAGCTTGAATTAGAAAGAAAGAAAGAAAGAAAGAAAGGGATAGATAGATAGATAGATAGATAGATAGATAGATAGATATTAATATTTTTAAAGGTCTTGTCTTGTTAATGTACTTAATTTCATGGTAAATCTTAATCATGTAGATCGAACATAATACGGTGAAATTTTCAGATCAAAATTCAGATCTGTCTAATTATAAATGTTCCCTTCCTTTTGAAATCTGTCATCAAAAAATATCGTCTTTCACGTATGTCAATCACGAAATTCTCTTGCTAGAAGCCGATTTGCAATCGTTTTATCTGCCAAATAAGAGGATTAGTCAAAACTTGTTGAAGTCCTGTTCTCCTTTAATTATTAACAGCAAGAAGCGCATAAAACATACTGAAAACAAAAGTAACGTTTCAGAATTGCAAATCTCCTTCTCAAAAGAGTCCCTTTCCTTCTAATTAGGAAATGAAGTTCGGTTAAAAAGTAATGTCTGCTCTTTAATTACAACAGATTTAATAATAGGACACAAAACATAGGAAAATGAACACAAATGTCTCATGATTCTAAATAATGTACTCCACGAAACAGCAACATCCTCTCTTCTACAATTTGATGCTAGGTTCGTTCCAAAAAAAAAAGAATCCTTCTTCTTCATTAATTACAATAGATTAAAAATCAAACACAACATAGATTGCAGAAATGGGCACAAACATCTTTGGATTCCAACACAATTTTCTCCACTCTCGACTGTGGTATTCCAATAATAAAAAAAAACATATATATCCGCCTTATAGAAACTTGGCTGCTTTCAAAACTATGTGCTGCATGCTTCTTTTACGATATCATCATTGGAGAACCTCTCTCCATTGACTGCCTCCTCCATCCATGTTGTGCATCTGCAGATGTTGTCTGCCAAAGGTGATGATGTACAAATGGTAGGTATCATCATTGCAGAACCTTTCTCCTCTGAGTGCCTCCTCCATCAGTCTTGTACAGTTTCAGAAGTTATGTGCAGAAGGTGATGTTGTGAAAATGGTAGCCCCTTTATTGAGTCTCTCAAAATTCTGGGGATGACTTTGCCCAAACATTTGAGTAGCCAAGAAATAGCACTAAACTACAGGCACTACCATGACTCACCTGGAGACTTTCACTTGGTTCTGAAATATTGGCCCTTCTGAAATTGAAAGGAAAGCAATGATGGCACCTAGACTGAATACATCATAAAAATTCAGGATATCGAATTAGTAGATACTAAACGCTTCAAATACCTCGTTGCATTGATCAGCTATAACAAGTTTAATATAGAAAATAAGGAAATTGAACATAGAATAGGCTACGCTAGAGGCAGTTTCACTCAACACCGTAAAATACTATAAACCTAAAACATTAGTTTGGAAATTCGAATCATGTTCTTAATTAACCTAATCAGATCGAGATGTCATACCAAACACCAAACCCGCACAGAAGTATATAAAATGCCAGCTGGATATAACCGCTTTCTCAGATCAATGGTTAAAAATAGCTTTGAGAAGACCATCATTCTTAGAACATTGTGGACTGGCGCTACACATTCAGGAACAAAGAACTGTACCGAATAACAGCAACCAAATCACTTGAGGATTTTCCTGAGAAGCAACAGCTAAAATAGAACTCGAAGAGAAAATAATGACGTAATCAAGATGTTGACATTCTACGCCGCTTCAAATAAAAGGACCGGAAGTAAATCCCCATCAATACTGGAAAGAGCGATAACAGACACTGAACTTGAGAAACGTATTTTCCTTAAAAATTGTTCCAAGCGGAAGACCTGCTATGTCAATGAATGCTGAATGTTTCCTTGTAAGGAAACGGCTATTATTATCATTTCCATTCTTGTCACCTTTAATGAGAGAATCATCCTGATTAACAACAGCAGCTAAACTGCCACAGCGAGGCCTGTCATTAAGATCAGTTTCAGCTAGGATTGCTATCAATTCTACCGACTCATCCCCTTGTTGCACTTACATCAAAAGCAGTCTTTTCGTAAATATTCAGAAACCTCATGTGAATAACTGCAGTACATTCTCTATCTAGAACCATATATTTTCTGATTCCGTTTTATCTTTTATGTATGTACAGAGAGGGAGTCGTTTTAATAGAGGATTATGGGTAGGAAAATAGAAGATAACGACACAAATGTTTAGCCTCAATTTGTGGATAATTTCCGGTTTATAGATAATAAAATGGAATTTTGATAAAGAATATCAAAATTAATTTTAATAGAGGATTATGGGTAGGAAAATAGAAGATAATTTCCGGTTTATAGATAATAAAATGGAATTTTGATAAAGAATATCAAAATTAATTTTAATAGAGGTTTATGGGTAGGAAAATAGAAGATAACGACACAAATGTTTAGCCTCAATTTGTGGATAATTTCCGGTTTATAGATAATAAAATGGATAAAGAATATCAAAATTAAGCTAGAATAGATATTACTTTTTTGATCTAGCCTTGTGCATAGGGAAACATATGTATATCACTCGACTATTACAGAATTTATAAGTACAATAAATGTATTGGATACTAAAATGTCGGCTGATTGTGATGCTCCAATTTTTTACGTTCAAACTTTACATTCGAAATCGTGACGTTTAATTAGATTTGATCATATAAAAAGATTAAGATGAAAAAACAATAAATCCAGCTAGCAACTACGTTAATCTGATCCGCAGTTCGATTTTTTTTTTAATTTTAAACATCCTGTTTATATATATATATATACGTTATTTACACTGTTGTCATCATTTTTATTGGCATATTCAGGACGTTTCGACGGTTGTACGGTCCGGTCTTCTTCAGGTGATATTTGATGGAATTTCGAACCGAACTATTTATTTAGTCACTGGAGTATATTGTTCTAATTCCACGTGCGATGCCTCTGGATATCGCAGGTTTTTTATTAATTCCCCTCAGCTCTCCAAGTTTTTGTTCTGTCTGTCGTGACCAGGGATTGAACACATAACTCTTTAGGTTAAGTCATTTTGAGGATTAATCAATCAACGCTTTTATCCACTGGGTCATGTGTGAATGTTGCAGTAAAGATGAAGACATCAGCCGGAACAATATAAATAGTGTAAATATTTACAATATCTCATCTGAAATGTATACACTGAACGGAAAAGAAAAACTTGTATAGATATTGTAATACTAAATTTATTCTGACATCACGAGATTAATGCAAGTTACCTTTGAATTGTACAATCACAAGAGATGCCAAAATGGCGGCTATTAGCTTCCAGACATTTATTAGTAAGACAAACTACAGCCTGAGTAAAGTGTCCAGTGGGATTGCTGCACATGCATTTTCATTTTTTTGTCTAATGGCCGCGAATGTCATTACTTTTCTGCGATACACAATATCGTTTAGGACTTGTTGATGCTGTATCCATGAGGGTAAAGCCATTTATCAAGAAAAAACTACAGTAAACAGTGTTATGGCGTTTTGGCGAACTCTCTCTCTCTTTCTCTCTCTTTCTCTCTCTCTCTCTCTATATATATATATATATATGTATATACATAAATATATATATATATATCGAACCTGCATCCTATACGGAACCGTCATTTACGCTGACGTGCCTTAACCGACTCAGCCACAAAGGAGCGTTCGGTAGACAAGGTCGAATTTACTGCTTATAAACTTCAATCTTCCATGAATCTCGTACATTCATAACTGCTCTGGCGTATTAAATGTAAACAAATGACGTCATATATTAAGAAATGGACAAAGTCCGACAATTTATTTATTAAAGACATTTTTCTGTTTAACGTTCTTTTTTATAGATAAATTTAAATATTTAAGTAAATGCTCTGTTTATAATAAACAGTATTAAATAACATTTACCGGCCTGAATGTCCGAGAAATTTTATAAGCCGTATAGGATGCAGGTTCGAATCCTGTCAAAGGACAAATATTTTCTATGAAAATTTCTCGGACATTAAAAAAAATGTCTTTAACAAATATATTGTCGGACTTTTCTTAATATATGACGTCATTTGTTTACATTTGATACGCCAGAGCAGTTATGAATGTACGAGATTCATGGAAGATTGAAGTTTATAAGCAGTAAATTCGACCTTGCCTACTGAACGCTCCTTTGTGGCCTAGAGGTTAGGCACGTCAGCGTAAATGACGGTTCTGTATAGGATGCAGGTTCGAATTCTATGAAAATTTCTCGGACATTCAGGCCGGTATATGTTATTTAATACTGTTTATTATAAACAGAGCATTTACTTAAATACTTGTATCTATAAAAAAAGAACACTAAACATAAAAAAAATGTATTTAATATATATATATACTTAATTTTCAATCATTAATCGTTAAATATTAAAAAAAAAAATAAACCGCTTAAGATCAATAACCATATCCCGTCGGCAAAAGACAATCTTTCACGATGGCCCTGTAAACCTTTTTTCTGTGGATTTTGTATTTACGTCGTGGAACACGTACACAAATCTTAGTTAATCCTGTTTGTTCTTGTCACTGTTTATCCATCTTTCGCTGAAGATAATTCAAGCTTTTCAAATTATTTTATCTAAAAAAAAATGTTATTTTATCTTGCTAATCCCATTATGCCAAAGCAATGTTGATACTGAATGTAGAACAGTTCAAAACAATACACAGGTTTTATACTTTTTGTCGAATTGAGTGATAACCCGGCCTTTCTGATATGCGGTAATAAACTTCTGGTTCTGGAGAGTAAAACGGGCAGTGATATAAAATTTGTGGTGAAAATTAATTTAAAGATTATAATAGGCAGATTTAAAAAAAAACAAAAAAAAACATCTAAACGACGCGCTCATTAAAAAATATGATGCTGTAGTTAGAGCTAGCTTTTTAATTGTGTAGAAATGCCGCTCCTGATTTAGTATTATAGGCGGTGCGTTTTTTGAAAGCAGTGTTCTATTCCACGTGAAATTCAACACACATTCGTTCTATTCCACGTGAAATACAACACGCATTCGTTCTATTCCACCTGAAATACAACACGCATTCGTTCTATTCCACGTGAGATACAACACGCATTCGTTCTATTCCACCTGCAATACAACACGCATTCGTTCTATTCCACCTGAAAT